GTAAATACAAAATACCATGATCAAACGAAAAAGATTTTCTTCAAGAATATAGAGTAACAAAATGTTGAACAGCGGCTGTAAACAGCGGCGAACATGCGACAACAGTAATCCACCATTGTGAGCGCACACAAACATAAAGGGCGAGGGTGTAAGAAAATTACAAGTGCAAACATTGCCTAAGTGGACATTTTAACATAATCGTCTTTCCTCATTAAAATTCGTATAATATATAATTATATTCTACGTAGTTTTTGTGCGTCTTGGAAGATTTTGTATGAAAACAACATTGACGGTTGCGTTTGTAGATGGCAGCCGTGACGTCAGGACTTTCCCGGGCCGAACTTGTGTGCGGGACTTCGAGTCTCTTTTTGTGTATCAGACGTGTACATTTTTACGGCATCATCGTTCTTTATTAAAACAGCAGGTATTGTACACAATTATTCTACAAATCGTTCGTGTGCGTCTTTTTATTTTTCGGCGTTAAAACATTGAATTTCCTTTATCAGCCCGGCGGTGCATGTGAAAAAATTTATGTGGGGAGGGCAGTCTCGGGGAGGACGAACAAAATATAACCGCAAACTTCTCAGCAGCCCCTTGAATTAACTAATGTTCTGTTGTGGCAATTGTAACACTGTCTTACACAGTTCCCTTGTAACATTTGACAACGAAAAATTCTTGTCCACTTACCGAGTATCCTCGAAAAAGAATCGCCGAGACAGATTGCTTCCGTACACCCAAAATTCTGGCGGCCGCTGTTTTACATTCTTGGAACACCTCGTTTGACATTTTAGTCAGTCGCTGGAGATGCCAAAACTTGTGTGCAGCGTCGACGATAGATATAGCTGCTTGTATGACTGAAATCCATTCTCCAAAATTGCAGACAATCCAACAAAATGGAAAAAACTGAGGTCGACTGAGCAGCAGACGTGTTCCCCAGCCAGCCCGGTGACCGTTAAATCTAGCGCCTTCAAACTTGGCGCATGTGCGTTAGAAACCTAAACCCCCCTGGGAAACATCGTGAAGCACGTAAGTGCCGGCCGCTGCTGTTGTCAATTAATTAATAAACGCCCGTTTCCATGCCGGACGGTTCAGGACGGGCTGGGAGCGACGGGGTGCCGTCACTAATTTCTGGGACGGCCGTCCGGGGGAAGTTTGTGGACGCTGCCAACTGTGTTGGGACGGTCAGGACGCCGTTTCCCGCTAAGGACGGGCAGGGACGGCGTCCGGTGGGCGTTTCCCCGTTGGGGACGCTTTCATTTTTACAGAGGAATTCTTAAGTTACAGCATATTGTCATGGCAACTGTTGTAAAGGGCTGAAGTATTTGACCCTGCAAATTTGCATTTCAAATAACATTTTCTTGACATTCACCATAGACACATGTTGAATGACAAAAGCCCCATTCCCATAGAAGTTGGCAAGCTAGCTGCAGGGGAATAATTTGCAGGGAAAGCTATCTAACTTTATATCGTAGTGTGTTGCAAGGTGGCCTCATTTGGGCAAATACCTTCACTAATTTAACACAATAATTTAAACTCACTGTAAAACATTGCCTTGAGCATTCAAGCCCCCACTATTCTGTTAGAAATTCATTGTGGTTCATCTTTTATGCATTCTTTTTTTCATAGCAACGATCTCTTATTCCACAGTGGCCGACTCAACAGATGCAACCATGTCTAAAGTTCAGTCTGCAGCTATGAGTCTAGAGGATAGAGTCTATGGGACCATATATGGAAACTGTATCGGGGATGCCATCGGTCTCTTAACAGAGTTCCTGAGCAAGGAAGAAGCTTTTCAGGTATTTTGGAGGGTTTTTAAAGAGATTAGTTTTGTTGGATTGACTATGTACTCTTGTGTGCGGTGGCAGCTGGTTATAATTTATATGTTATACTGAATGACCTGTCACACCAAACCTTTGCATGTAGATACTCAGTAGTTGGTATGTTCACCATTTCAGTAGGTAGTGATATTTTTTTACACCATGCATAGAAGCCTCTGGAAACAACTGTCTGCAGCTGCCATGAAGCCTGCGGACGATTGATTGATAGTCAGTACATTTTTTCTTCTGTCTTTGTGCTGTCCTGTCCCTTTGTAGTGCTATGGCAGCAAGAAGTTGGAATATTCCATGAAGGTGAAGGATGGGCACCGTGTGCGCTGGAACGTCGGAGACTGGACAGACGACAGCGACCAGATGATCCTCATCATTCTCGCTCTGATAGAGAAAAAGGAGAGGAAGGTAGGCAGATACAATAGCCCATAACAGTAGCCTGGAGTTGGACTAAAGCTATCAAGGCTGGCCTCCAGGCGCTACCACAACAACACTGCGCAACACCTCTGCTAAAGCCCAGGAAGAGAGAGCGCTGTAAAGGGAAATACCTGTGTCACACCTCTTCCAAAGCAGCCCTCTCTCTTCAGGCTTTGGAAGAGGTGTTGGGCAGGTATAGCCCTTTGACGATCTCTCTCCAGGATTTTGTGATTATGGGCCTTTGTAGGCAGGGGTGTGCAGCCCTCCAGACTGCTCCATTTTAGGAGCATATGCTCCCAAAAATTAAATACAAATGTATAAATCATGCTCCTGAAAATTTTCCTAGGAGCACCCAACACTCCCATCAAAACTTGCATGCACTCATGATAATGTCTACTAGTAAATCATAGACTAATGCCTATATCACTAAACTGTCAATCACTGTCATTTACTGTCTTGTACCAGGTAACCGTAGAAACCCAGCAGGACTTTGCCCTTCGGATGAGACAGTGGATGCACCACGGTTTCCCCGAGCTGGGTGACTGGGGAGGCTGTGGAATCGGGGGAACTACACTGCAGGTCCTCACACTGGACATGTTCACTACAGACCCAGAACAGGTGAAACAACTTACCAACATGTAGTTCACATACAATGTGATAGGAGACTTGCCTAAGCTGCGGTGACTGGAGAACATGTTGGCAGATTGTACTGTGCCTGCGCGAAACTAGGATTTGTTACATTTTTCGTTGGATGTTTGGTCAATGTTGTATCCTGTTGCAGACGATATCTTTTTCAACAATATGGACGGGAATGTCATCCTCAAATACACGAATACATCTGAATTTCAATGCACAATTAACATGATTATGTTCTGCATGCAGATGCACTATGTTCTTCTGAAGTACTGGCTCGGTAGAGGGCTAGCCCCTTATAATACTAGTAGCCTCCGGCTAGTTGGGCAGTTCTGGCTGTATAACATTCTATTCAGTTTAATAAATCATGTGAAATCAAATCAAATCAAATCTTGATACCAGATACATGTAACATTATGTTCATTATAGACCTATTATTATCGTCAGTATTATAATGATAGACCTGCAAGAGGTAATAATAGAGAATTCTCAGACTGGTACTCAGTACTACTCACCAACATGGAGTTTACACAAAATCTGATAGAGGGCGTCCCTCTCTTTACTCCAGGCATCTCGCACAGTTTGGGAAAGGTCGGGGAAGGTTCTGGCGCCCAACGGAGGCGTGATGCGGACATCCATTCTGGGTGTCCATCAGTACCAGGACCTGGACATGGTCATACACAACACTGAGAAGCTCTGCAGGGTCACACACGCCGACCCCAGGTGTTTGTTTGTTTGTTTGTGTCTTGTCTTTTAATTTCCTGCTATTTCATGGGAGCCTATTGGAAAATGTATACCATATAGAATCATTGACAAATTCACTGTGAATCATCACCGAAATAAAACTAGAAATTCACAAAAACTCTAAATAGAACTGTCCCCAAATCAATTTTTTTTGGGCCAGAATAATGAAGAGATGAAAAAATGCCAAAAGAAATATATTTCCTTCTCCTTATTGGGAGTGAAATATGATACATTTATACACCCCAGGTGCATTGCCTCGTGTGTCGCCGTGACAACGGCCATTGCCATGATGCTGCAAGGGAAACATCGGAAAGAAGATGGGACCACGGATGCCTGGGGCATCACTCATGACAGCTTCGAGCACGCCAAGAAATATCTGGTAACAGAAGATGGAACAGAAGACAGTACTGCAGTGAGTACAATTATCAATCTGAAAGGATGATGTTAATGTCAGTTTTGGTAATTATAAGTCCAGCATATCTGTAACAATGATTAATGAACATAGTTGCATTTTAATGGCCAACATAGGCTAGATGCTAGAATTAGAAGAGAAGAACAATTTTTTTTTCAATTATACCATAGTTTTTAGATCATACTATGTTACATGAACATTTCGTTTGAAAGTGCATATTTCTAGTCTTTCTGTAGGGTCAAACTAATACAACAGTGAATGTCTGTGTGTAGTGATCAACTGAAAGCAAAATGTGCTTCTGTTTTAGGTCCAGGAGCTCCAGTTTCACATGGAGGCGGAGAAGCTCTCGACCCTGAAGCTGGATGAACGGCGTAAGATCGGCTACACGTACAAGACCCTCGGCGCCGGGTTCTGGGCGCTGCGACAGAACGACTTCAGGAAGGCGATGACTGAACTGGTCATGGAGGTAAAGGATTTTTTGATGTTACTAGTACAGGTTTAGCACACTGTCATGAATGGTTGTGTGCTGGTCACAGTGATTTCATCTAACAAATCAATACATTTTAGCCTATAACAATATCAGGCCTGTGGAGGATGTCGGCAGATTGTACTGTGCCTGTGAGAACCCTGGATTTTTCATAGCTTTTGATGGAAGTTTGGTCAACTTATGTTGCACCAGAATTTTGCCTGTTGCAGACAATATCTTTTCCAACAGACTATAGATGGGATGTCATCCTTGAATATTATGCAAATACCACCTTAAAAGGACATTCTCCGAAAGTGTAATCCACAATACATTAGGATTTTGCAGTATAGCAAATACAACAACATGCCTGCCTTGTTCTTCATGTATTTCATATGTTTCTCAGGGTGGGGATGCGGACACTAACGGAGCAGTAGCTGGAGCCCTGCTGGGGTGTAAGCTGGGAGTGAAGGGTCTGCCCAAGTCATGGAGGGACAAACTCTGCTATAAAAAATGGCTGGACGAGCAGATCATTGCCAAGTAAGATGGGCAACATTCTCAAAGGCAAATTCTTCCAGTGCAATTTCAGGGCAGCAAAAAAAAAGAAAGAAGTATTCTGGATGAGGAAATCTGTCTGATATTGTCATTTGTGCTCTCAATTTTGATATCCTAAAAGTCCACTTGTGTGACCAAACAAAAAACTGTCAGTCCCGAAGACTATGACTGCACAAACAAACAAACAAACAAACAAACAAACAAACAAACAAACAAACAAACAGGATGGCTTGGTTCCTAATTTTACATATGAAATACCTAAATATGCAAGTATATATACCTTACTTGAGGCTCGACTTGTGTTACTAGCTACTTAAGATAATATAGAACTCTAGTATTATATCAAGCTTTCTTTCGCTTTATTTCGGATAGTGAATTAGATTATCTTGCCTTCACCAGTCACTGCTTCTATGTTCCAGGTACCTGGAAACATTCCCTCTCGTACATGTACCACCAACAACTGTCAGTGGTGACGCCCCCCTCCCCAACATACAGGCAAAGGTTTGTAATGATGTTGAGGAGAATGCAGAAAGTGGTAGAAGAAGCAAAGATGGTGAAGGAGGGAAGGAAAAGGGTGACTGTGAGAAGGAGACAAAAGAAGAGTCCAGTGAGGACAAAAGCTCAAAGGCAACAAAGGAGCCACAGGGGATACAAATGGAAACTGCAGTGTAAATGTCAACTTGACCTTAATACTGACAAATTAAAAGGCCTGCTCTTTTTTGTTTGCCAACAGATTTAGACCTAATAGTATGTATTTGGTGGTAATACAGATTTTTGGTTGTATCATACCAAGGAGGTTTAAGATCAAGATTTTAAACCTCCTTAATCATACCGAGCAACTTCACTTTTTAAGTCATAGTTCTTCATAGAGATGTCAAAAGATTTTTAATAAAAAAAATTATTGAATGTCAATTATCATTCTATCACACATCATCATCATCTACCTGTATCCAAATCTGTCTGCTTCTGAAGTTTATGGTTCCATGGTTTAGACCAAAATTTTGTGCTTTGAAAGGAGAATTATAAATGTAGTGATATACTAGTTTCCCATATATTATTTGATATTTAGATGTTTGTATAGGAATTTATCACAATCATGATCACCTTTATCAATGGAAGTGTTGGTATAACACACAGTTCTGTATCATAATTTTGTGGCAGCTAGTTAATATGTAAACTCATGGTAAAATATCTGATATGTTGTTGCACACCTGTAATTATATAACGGAACATTACACTTTTATGTGTATTTCTAAAAGCTGACAAGTTGTTTTACCAATAGATAGTCATCACTATTGATTATTTTAGTTAATATTAATGGTGGTTTAACAACATAACTACACTTTGTGGTGACCAAAAAAGCAATGTTGCAAAGAAATTGGCAAAATATAATAAGCCATTTATTTTTTCATGAAAGCTTTTTTAGCTTTGTCTATTAAGAAAAAATGCTGGTTTGAGAAAACTGTTAAGAGGTGAAAGCTTTTATCATGTACATTAACGTTAAATTTGAGGTCTTATGAAAATTGTAAAATAAGGAGCAGGATTGTGAATGTTACAGTTGCTCCATAGAAGGCCATGAATTGTATGTTATGATATATTATTAGCCACTGAATTAACGTTATGCCAAACATGATTTTAAGACCATTTTTGTCGGTAACTCTTTGAGGAGTTGGATAACAGTTTAAAGTTTCTCATAAGTCATAATTTCATTTCATTCCATTTTGATGGAAATCCCAAGCACATAGCAGCGTCTAGGCGCTGAATTGTGTACTTGTATTGAAAACTACATGAACAAATAAATAAGCCGAAAAAAGGAGGCCACATTTGCGTACAATTAAACAATAAAAACACAAAACACTAACGTTAACGTTAACATTGGCTAAACACAGTAATTTTGTGCATTACCTGTATCTCATCACGGAGTATGTCGCTTAAAAACGTCTGAATAAATGTACTTCATGTTGACACGTATTTTGGCTCAAGCGTACTGATCTTGTAAACAGTGTTGTGTGTCCGTAGTGTCTGGTATTCAATGCCTTACCAAGTCTGGTGCCCTTGTTCCTGGCTAACACACCAACAAGACTGGTGTCCCTTAACCTGGGTACCATCATGTGGGAGCGGACGTAAACTAACCAGGATGGTACCCAGGCTACGTGTCCCTGTCCTTGGTGCTGAATGACGCACCAACAACACTGGTACCTATAAACCTATAATCATATTACTACAATGTATGTACACAAACACAAGGACCGAGTGACAATGGCATACTTGATACTAGGATTTACTGGGATGCTATGGTTTCATCATGACACTATAATGCACTCCTTCAAGTCACCTGTGGCTCGAAAAGCGCACATGTCTTGCAGGAGAGACAGAGCGTGTGTAGGGAAGCGTCCGTCCCTGCTGCCTCACATAAACATCGTCCGATCGAGCTCTCCTCGACTCGACACGCCCCTGCTCAGAATAGCCCGAGCTTAAACTCAAACCCGGGTGAAAATGTTTCGCCCTTTCAAGACCGGTTAGCGCTGTGTCTGAAGCGTACTCTCGGCCGGACGGAAGTGAGCTAGAGCGCTGAACGCTGCTTGTTCCGCGTTCTTCGCTTCTCATCCGGGTCGAGTTGAGTTTGTGAACTCCCTCTTCGCTTTGCCGCAACAGGGACTTGAGATCGGACGGGAGGGAGTGTCTAGTGTGCCGGGAAAGATTTCCAGTAACCCTGACGTGTCCTGATGAAGGAGAGGACAGCTGTCTTGAGTACAGAGGGGCGGTAGCTCTGTGCGGTCTCATTGGTATAGATTCTTCCGCGTCAACACTTGGTCTAGGACTTGTCAGTTTTCCGTGTTGGTTCATATCTCTTCTGTCCTGTGGAGAAATAGTCCTTTCTGTAAGTGCTGGCGGCCTGGTGTAGCTCAAAGCGCCTCCTGTTCTTTTCTCGAAGTGTTCAGGGTTTACCCTACCGATGTATTCTGATAGCGGGCCCAGCCGAGGGCCAGTGGGTTTGCCGTCCTCGTATCTGTTCCTCACCCGCTGGTCTGCATCCGAGCTCGTTCTACCGTCTCTTTGAAGCGGACTGAGGCGCAACTGTTGCCCCACGGGCCCCTTCTGGTCCTTCTCAAATAAACTTTTCCTACCGTCTCCCTCCCATTCTGTCGTTGATACCCTCTCTAGTTCTATGGACGGTACCGGTCTATCCAAATCAGGAGGAGACGGACTATCGACGATATTTTGGCTTGATTCCGTGGGGAGGCCTATTACCATCTGTGGCCGCCCGGACGGTGTTGGGAACTCGTTTTTCCCGCGCGATGTTGTCTCCACCTCGTGCGTTTGCCCGTGTGGTTCTCCGTCAGTCCTTTCCCTTTCACCGTCCTTGTCGCGCTTTTCTCTCTCTATGATGTCCGTCAGCCACTGGTCTACCTCTGGCTGTTGTTTTGGACGCTTAGCGCCCCCTTGCGATAGCTGGAAGACGTTCACACTTCGGAGATACCTATGGGAGGGAGAGGATTTAATTACGTAAACGGAAAACCAAAGCGCTCATGAACCATACGTGAATAACAACATACACTCCAAAAAGGTATTTAAGTGTTACGTTACTAATCTGTCTTAAACGTCCTTGCAAAAAGCAAAGGGCGCTACAAATGCCGTTCTACAGCTATTGGAACGTGTTCAGCACCAAGGACAGGGAATGTGTTCGACCGATAAAGATACTACGAATAAAATATGCGCATGAATGATGTGTAAACTAAACGAATGAATGTTGTGTTGAAGATTTTTGCCGTCTCACGTTTGTATCTGGTCGTCCAGCCAGTGTTTCTGCCGCAGCCCGTACAGCCAGGGTCCCCGCAGTCTGTCCACTCCCAGCCGACAGCCCAGCAGCGCGCCGGCCACCGCGCTGTTCGTGGCAGCACTGCCGCCCTGCGGTTCAAATACGCAATGCAGGTTAGGGGTCCAGCGTTTTCGATAGAATGAGAAAACTTGTCTCTACGTAAATAATGCAATGTAAAACGGGCGATGTAATGAATAGCGTCCTAACGTGCTACCGTTTTACTCTCCAAGCAGAGGTTTGGGTTTTGGGGGTATTTTTAGCGTGTTTTTAGGCTTTTTTTATCGGGGTTTCTCTTTTGCACAGAATTTTTTTTCTCGGGAAAAAGAATTCAGTGCAAAAGAGAAACCCCGATAGAAAAGCCTAAAAACACGCTAAAAATACCCCCAAAACCCAAACCTCTGCTTGGAGAGTACTACCGTTTACCAGATACGTTTGATCCAGTGTTGACGTTACACTTCAGAGAAGCCATGTGACAAGCTAAGTCTCACTGGGTCAGTCTACTGAAGAAGACCAGATGAGTGACTGGTGGAAAGCTCTAGGTGAGAACAATCTCTCGTGTAGGATCAAAAGTCTTAACGTTAAACATGTGACTAATTACCAAAACAGATGACAACGTCCTAACCTCCATGGCGATTTGTATAATGGTATCCCTGAAGTTCCGTTGCCTGAGCGCCCAGAAGCCGGCCCCTAACGCCTTGTACGTGTAACCAACCGTCTCTGTCTCGTCCAACTGGAGCGTGCGCAGATCCCGCACCTGCATATACGTCATCAACTCTTGCCTCTAAACAGACAAAAAGGAAGAAATGGTCACAAGAAATTTGAGCAATTATAGTATAACATGTTGTGTCCCGGAACCATGCTCATCAGGCACGGTTCTAAATAGTCCAGAATTAGGCAAATCTACGTGTACGTTCTTGGATACGCAGAGACTATCCAGAGCCGTACCTTATCCTAAACCTAACCTATTCAGGCATGAGAGCTAGAAAGGCGCAGTTCTGGATTACGATAGCTGCACGTACCATGGCGTCCCTCCCAGCCGGCAGCTGCGCCTGCGCGTGTTGAAAGCTCTCTCTCGCGATTTCCGACACGTCCCGCCAACCCTGCAGCATCAGCGCCATGGCCGTCGTCATGGCAACGCACGACGCCACGCACCTGTTGGGATAGAAGCACCAGAGATAGAAACATATAGAATACAATATGGTGTATTCCGTATCATCCGAGGTACCAGGCCGACCGCGGGTCGGATCGCCCAAAGGCCGGAGGGAGTTTTAACCCGCGGGAGGGCTGGGACCGAGGGTGATGCGGAATACGCCGTGTTGTATTTCATCTATGTCATACCCACCCGAGAAAACACGCATTTAAAATGTAGGAAATGTGTCAAAAGCATTTGTGAGAAAATTTGATGTTCGTAAACAAAAAAAAGCCAATTCGTAATCAATTCCGACCAAATCCATCCTATATTACATAGTTACCTCGGATCTGCATGTGTGGCTAGGCAGAACGCCCGGGTGTTGCTGACGACAGTCGCGAGGTTTTTGTAGCCGTGGACGCCGAGGATGGAGGTCCTCATGATGGCTCCGTTCGGCGCCGAGGTCCCGCCGGCCTTCTGCCAAACCTGCAGGGCTGCCTGGGGCACAAAAAGGGGAGCAAGGTGGTCCTGTGGTTAGCCTTGTCTTCATGACTCACTTGTGGTGGTTAGGATTGTTCAATCTCTGGCAAGCCCTAGTGTTGTGTTGTGAAAGACACTTTGCACCTATTTTTTCCACTTGATTCCTAGCAGGTACCGATACAATTTATCAGTCCACCGAGAGATTTGATAGAGACGCTTTAAGTAAAAATAAACATTATTGCAAGTGTGTCTCGAAATTGTGACTTACGTAGTGCGGTTCCTGTGCAAAATTCTTCTGTCTCAGGACCCTCTGGGTTGTTTGCTCCAAGACACAGCCGCTCTTGTCACCCAGTTCGGGAAACCCCTCCACCGACCACCGGTACAGCCGATGGGCGAAATCACAGACGGTAGACTTGTCCACCTGTAACAGGAGGATGTTGATCCTTTTCGGATGATGTTATAGGCACACAACGATTTCAGGGCAGTAACACTGGATTTTCAAAGTCAACAGTTTTCTGGTCATTTTTTAAAATGCAGGGCGTTGAATCAAGGAGGTTAAAATCAATTAAAGTTGAAATCATTAAAGCTCCTTGGTTGAATCAACCCTACCCCATAGCATTCTGATATCTGTGAGGCAACGGCATACAGACACTAAGGCAGAGGAAAGGAGACAGAAAAAGGATTCATTGCTTTGACAACTCACCTTTCCCCCAGAACTGGCGAGTGTTTGCATGATGAGGATCATCTGATCGCTGTCGTCTGTCCAGTCTCCGACCGCCCAGTTGTCCCTGTGTCCGTCCTGCACCTTCATGTGGTACTCCAGGGGGTGGGGGTAGGCCTGGAGGGGACGGTCGTGTTAGGGTCATCTCCAAGCAGATCTTTCGGTGGATGCAAAGACTATCAAATTGGCCAGGCTGTATCCATTGGCCAGACAGTATCCAATACTTTGCCGATGGGGGTCGCGACAGAAAAAACGGAGCATGTGATAGATAGGCCACTTTCTTCTGGGATAGTAGTGTCAGGGTACGGACCACTATGTTCCCAGATTACTACTACTTTATGTGGAAGTTTGCTTTGCTTTCCATCTTTGTTTTGAGATTTTGTGCTAAAATCGTGTGTTTGACCTTAGACCTTTATACCACCTATTAACGTCAAGTGTTTTATCGTTTGTCGTAGCGCCGTGGACTCTTGAACTTTGGTCGCTTTCAGCAATCAGCGTTGTCCAATTCTTACAGAAATATTTTGACTTTGACCCAAACCTGTATTGTCGACCAAAACGATTTATATTTAACTGAGCGTTTAAAACTGCCCACGAAAAACCATACAATTTCAATTTGTATTCTTTGTCATTGGTGAGGTCAAAATTACAAATCGTTGCTCGCTACTGTGTCTTGTACTTTTTTTAGATGTTGTTCAATAGAATCAAATTCTTACCTGTGCTGCCTGGTTTCTAGTCATAAACTCGGTCAGCAGCCCGACGGCGTCCCCGATGCACTGCCCGTAGATAGTCCCGTAAAGTCGGTCCCTCGCCCCGGCCGCCGCCGCCATGGTGCCTGCTACCCAGTCTAACACCGCGCTACTGTACGTACATGTCACAGGGGTGAAGAACGGCGGCTGTTTCCATAGCAACGCTTCATTAATGATTGACGTATCTATAGCACGGTTTATATGTTACCGTACTTTCGCCTGTTTATTATGTTTGTCAAAGGCTGGATGGGCAAACTGGGGGACAACGATTAACAAACCGGTGGGACAAGTCGGGGATTGTAAACGATTGTACAGTCGCAAACCGTGCGCAAACCTAGGTCGACAAATAAACACATAAAAGAAACAGTAGATATCCCAAAATTTCAGCTATTTTGTTGTACATAGAACTTGGATACTATAAAATGGTACGGAAATAGCACCGTAGTTAAGTTGTTTGCCCAGTCACAAGAGAAGCTTGTGATTTTAGGAACTCAGTACACATTTCAAGAAATAGACCATTTGGATTGCGTGTACATGTAGAACAAGAATGCATATACTATGTAGAGAGGGCCTTTGCTGACTTTCAGCAGTTTGTTGTTTTGCGTACTAATCACTTACAGTTTCACTTACAGCTTCAACGTAAGTTACACTTGTAAACTCAGAATGGCATACCGTGTCTTACCTGAAATGACATTCCTGGCGTTGAGCAACTGAATTCTCATAACACGGCCTTCTACATTGTAATTAACATGAATGTAGGTAAAGATACATGTCCCATACAGTCACAGAAAATCGTGGAGAAACCGTCAGCACAGATTACATTTGCGACGTTATATCGTCTGCAGATGTCAATCATGCATTTTAACGTGCACGAACCCAACCTGGATAGTTGTAGTGTTTCCAGGTGCTGACCAATGGGGTTATCGTGTGCGTGTCACGTGACAGACCAATGCCCCAGGGCGTTTCAGCTTGTCAAATGGAAGTATTAGTGTTAATCTGCCTCCTTTGTGTAACTTGTGGCAAACACTTTTAAGTTGCTGGGCGGCTATATCTTGTGCCAATGTTTTGTACAGTCATTGTATACCATTTTTTTTGCACAATCAAACAATGTGTATTTTGTAATACCAAGCGACCTGATCTGCATAAGGCCATTTGAGTACTTTTTGGTGGTCCCTTCTATAAGTAAGATTTTCATTGTAAAGAATCAGTCAAAGATATCAACAATACTATTAATGCTTTTAGATACAATTTAATTAATCCATTTTCCATGACACTTATGCCAAGTACATACACGATAAACAAAAGCAGAATTAATTGCAAAAATTGCTACTACAATTTGTAATACATGTAGTAAAAGCTCTAAATCTAATAAGCTTTTTCTGTCAGAATCTTTTTTTTCTGTCACAGGCTGTCCTTTGATATTCTTGCAATTATCAGTCGACCCTCTACAATTAAATCTGTACACTTTCGAAAGGAGTTCCATTCTTGCAATACTGTACAATAGCAGACTGTACTCTACCATTCTATTTTCCTCTTGAGTCATTCATTCATTCTATAATTCCAAACCAGTTGTGCATTTAGTACATTTGGTACCATCAAACCAGTTCAGAACTCTACACGTCTATAATCTTCCTTCAAAATACACCTCTTTCCTTGTAAAAAAATATCCTAATCTTTCTAAGGTTGCACTTGACAATGAGGCAATTCTGACTTAGACCTCAAAACAGTTTCCTTGTGTATCTCACTACCTGGATGCCTACCCTTCATCAACCTAACACTTCACATCACTAGACCAATCCCTTCCAAAAACTACATAGTGGAGCTCTTCAAAGAGAGAGAAAAATTTGGTCAAGTCATTCTTGAAACAGGAAACAAAATTTTGCACAATTTTTCTGACATCTTATACATGTACTGGTGATCTCACTCGAACAACTTGTGGAATGTACAATAAGCAGGTTCAGGGTTTCAACGGCGCATGAATGACACAATGTCTTGTGGGTAATATGTCAAATTTGAAGCCCCCTGAGACATAAACAATACCTGTCTGGACATGTACCTCTGAAGACCTTGTCATACATTGTATCTGCTACAATCGTTGTGCAAGAAAGTTTGACTTCCACATGTATCCACATGTTTTATCTCTCAGGGGTATTAAACTCTAATGTTGCCTACAGTACACTTCCCATGTGCAGCTTAAACCCACGAAGCAGCTTATTCTGAATTACTCAGCATTCTTATAAGAACACATTCTACATTGGTACAATTACACTTGGTGTAACTACACATTAAAATGATATCTGCATTTTACCCTATGGGTTACAACAAACATGGTACATTTAACAGCATTTCAAATCACATTTGCCTCATATTTTTCTACACTTTGTAATCATTCAATTAAAGCTGTGAGTGATCTTCAGGGATGAACAATTTGTGTTGTTTTCTTTGGCTACGATTCCTGATAAAAACTAACATAGCCAACGTGTGCATGTATGAAAGCCTGGCAAAACTACACAAACAAGTATTGGTAAATCTCGCAGAAAATGATGTCCGCATAATCATTACAATATCATAGTCATGGAATGCTTCTAAAACCATTCAGTGTGTCACTTCTTTCACAGACCATCCGACACACTATGGTAGTATTCACCATATAGCACAATGTGGAGACTCTCGGTTATCATGTTCATTCTATCATTATAGATTCTGGGTTATAAATACATAAAACAGCATATTTAGTGACAGCAAATACGTACGTTGCTCTTCTGTTACAATACACTATTTACAAGCAAGAGACTCTGCTCAGCACATGAGTGCCTTTTAGCAAACAAACGACTATTTACCACATTTACAATTTCCAGCCTGTAGCCAAGCAAAGCAGAAAAAAAAATCAAAAACATATAAGATTGCTTCTTGTGTATAAATGAAGACTACGAGAATCTTACATTAAGTTTATGTACAGTTATTGTTATCATGAAAGTTCATCATGTTGGTAGTAATCATAGTAACATGTTGAACTTTATTCCAACACAACAAGTACAGAGGGATCAAATTTTCACGTGGCACGTTTGATCAATTGCTGACGTCACGTATCCATAAAGTCTCATAAGGTCACGTGTCTCTCGCGAGTTTATGTTCGGAAGTGATTGGTCATTAATTATCCTGATGAAGGCGACAGTGGTCGTTGAAAATTTGATCTCTCTGTTCTCGTTGTTTTGGGATACAGTTCTACATTTTACTGCAGTTGTTGTCGGTCCTACTTGGCAAACTGCTCATAGAAAGCTATCTTGACCCGCTCGATGTGGTGGCAGAGCTTGATGGCTGGCCCCAGCTTCAGCTCCATACACTCCTGTACTGTGGGGAGGGTCAGTAGTAGCAGAGCCTGGCCGTCTATTTCCTAAAAAAACAAAAAAAAAAAAACATATCAGAACAGCTAATTAGACATGAAGACAAGAAGAAGCAGGAAAAATGTTTTCCTCCTACATAATTCAGGCAATCATCGGAAAATATCTCAGATTTTGTTGTTGGTCATGCTTGTATCAAAGGGTACAGAAAAAAGACTTGCCTGCTCAAGGAAAATCTTGGCCAGTGGGGCACAGTCGGTGTCCTTGATGAACTTGACCACTTCAATGACTGACCAGTAAAGCGGGTTACTGTCCAGCCTCAACTTATCCTCCTCCTGAGATGTCTGTGATAAAAAGGACAACATCAACTACTCAGTTTACATCCTAACTAGAAAGGCAACATTTGCAAAGCGAAGGCATAATCTTTACCATCATTTGTCCCCCTAGCCCAACAAACTACTGTTCTGTTTATTCTTACTCAAACACATATCTATGGCCCCTCCAGTTGTCCTGCAAGTTGCTACGTAATGTACTCAACACCATCCATCCATGCACTTATTCCAGACGCCCACCTGTGCAGTTGGCGAGGCTGCTGGTTTGACTGGGCGGGGTGGGGCGATGTAGGGCTCGTAGGTGGAGCGCGGGGGCGCAGTCTGCCGTCTGGTGCGCTCGTGTATCAGGAGCTTCGGCAGCTTGAACTCCTTCTCCTTCCGCTCCTGGCGGACGCGCTTCACGGGCACCGGAGCCGGCCCTGGGATCTGCAGGAGGGTGGAGGGAATTATTTACCGATTTTTGGCTTCATGTTTTCTAGAAGTCAACCCTGAGACCAGACTGTAAGGTTTGAATCACTCACACCGGGAAGGACTCATACTCTTATTGTTATGTGTGGTGCCCCCTCCCCCATGAATAGGAAGAGTGACTATCATCTTCAATTGCAAAGGACTAGCAAGGTGGGATCTTTAATGTGCTCAAGGTAAGGCTTTCTCAAACTACAGGACCTCCTGGTTTACGTCCTAAAGCCGGATGTCATCCATGTAATGAAATCAGTATTGCCTTAACTAAGAATGAAACTATCAGACTCTTTCCCACTATAACGCACTGACGCCCCATCCCCTAGCGTTCCTCACCTGCTGTCCCTCCTCGGGGGTCGGAGATTTCGACTCTCCCGATTCGCTCCCTTCGCTCCCGTTCTGGTCCACGCCCTCAGGCGAGTTCTGTGCTGACTCGTCCGTGGTGGCCGATCGCTTCTTCCTCTGCACGAAACACATCTTCTTCCTCTTCTTCCTTTTGCCTGGCTTCTTGGGCCCGCCCTCCAAGTTCGTGTGGCCGCCTGGCGGTCGACCCACGCGACCCTTCTTGCGCTTTCCGTAGTAGTACGCTGTGACGAGTAAATAGAAACAATTTCTTTATCACTTGCTACAAATTTGGAAATTTTCATGGGATTTCAGTTGGCCATTTTAATTACATCATGACCATATGTTTGGTCTTTCAGGAAGTTGCAACAATTTTGTTTCTTAACTGAAATATACAGTGAACTGCTTATTCAAGTTAAATTGCATTGTCGTGAGTATAAATGGCTTTACAGCCCTTAATTACTACAGACTTCTTACAAGGTTGACAAAGAAACATAATGCAAGACAAATTTTTATACTGTGTCTTGGTAACGGATCCTTCATTCACAGATTCACTCCCTCGTTTGCACACTTATGTATGCATGCTCACTCAATTCTCTGGTACGTACCACATACTAAGTCTTGGCCAAGCAAGCAAGCAGGCAACCCAACCCTCAATCCTCTTATACTTACTGTACTTGGTCTTGGTGAGGATGGAGCAGTTTTCGGGGCATTCCTCGGTGACCTCCAGTGGACCAAACAGGTTGGGGCAGCACTCCAGCTTGTGGCAGATCTCCTTACAGTAGCTCTCCACCTCAGCCGACGTACGAACCATCTCCACCATCGCACGGTAGCTCTTCCCCATGTACCTGTAACAGACAGGTTCTCTCATGTAACAGCTGCATAACTGTGCCATTCCATTACTTTAGCACCTTAGTTCCTCCCATGCCTAGTCATAAAGTCCTAGCCATTTAGGGCTCAGTCATTTTAAAACTAGGGTCATAGGTGGGTTTACTAGGGTTCACTTTTTTTCTTTGCATAATTATTAGCTAGACCCCTAATGTGACTTTCTGGTGGAGCAAAATTTTTACAACGGCCTGATCTGACTGAGTTACAGTGTGTTATCTGTCCTCTATACTACTAAGCCAGGTACTCCTCTATAGTACCATCTCTCAACAGCCAGAAGCATATCATGATTCTTAAAATCAGAGTGGACTCCAAGTGTGGGAGGTTTCCTCAGGGATACGTACTTGGCCTTCAGTTGTTGTTGGTGCCTGTCCTCCCTCCCTTCTCCGTGGACCTGCAGTTCCCTCAGCACGCGGCTCGGCTTGTACGCAGCGTTGATGAGCAGCGTCAAGACTTCCTGCAAGGATACATGATTATGTAGTCAGTCCTGTGACAACTACAAAGGTAAAATTTGCATAGCACATGCATAATGTTCACTTCCACATGGTCTAGTCGAACAAACTACTGCTGTCTTAATTCTTGCTCAAGCATATTCATGTGTGTGTCGACCAACCCCTCCAATCCTATCCTGCCACTTGCTACATAATGTAACCCAATGCTATATGGCATCTGCTACACCACCCGTTACCATGGTGATAGCTATGTGGTCCAGGTCATTGACCTTGTGTGTTTGGTGTAAAGGAACAAAAAACAGCACAAAAAAATCCACTAGCCGAGTGAACAACCGTAACCACAAGACCACCTTGCCACCATTTTTTTGTCCATATCTAATTAATCCATTTTATTTAAACAGATACCTTAGAATAATATGGCAGCATAAGAGTCAGAGACAGAAGGAGAAATGTCACACTCACCTTAAGAACGAGCACGACACTTCCCGGCCCTACAGACCGCGGCAGCTCGGCGATCCGTCCCTTGTTCAAGTATGGTCCAGAGAAGCACTTGTGGTTGACGTAGATCTTGGGGCACCAGTACTTGTTTCCTGAAGGCAACAGAGATTAAACAGTATGTCATGCTTTCATGTAAGAACCACAGCATACACTTATGAAGAAAAATCTGTAACAAAATATCCTATTGAACAGACATACATTGTACTTGCAATAGGAAATTTAGACATTCAATAGTATGTTCTTAATGCATATGAGATACTTTATTCTGTCCTATAATTCTGAATTCAGATTAAGAAAAAAAATCATCTCAATCGGCCAATGCTGATAGTATGTCAATCCAACCTTACCTACATTGTACAAATAATGTAGCTTCTTGTTTTTGGCATTATGTAAGGATTTTTTTTAAAGGATGGAGACTTTAAAACCTTTGTTAGGCCACACCAATTTAATTTCTTGGTTAACGGATTCTCCGCTTCATTTTTTTCTGATTTGCAAATAAAAATAAAAATCCAGAATCAACTGCAAAATGCTCATATTTTGCCCTGAACAGTTGAAAACAGACCTTTTCATCCAAGTTGATACAGTTATTCCATTTTTCAATGCAATGGTATCATTAAAAGTTCAAAATTCATTGTTCAAATTTTGAACCAGCCTGGTGTGTTGACTTCATGGCTCCTATCTTACCATTTTGGGCCATAATACGATGCCTAGGCCTGTTTTTATTTTCATTTTTTTTCGCCCGCCCGCTCCATTATTTTTGTAGAAAAATCCGTTAACCAAGAAATTAAATTGGTGTGGCCTTATTGACATGTATGTATGTATGCATGGGACAACTCTCACCTGGCTCATATTTGTGGGATGCACTGAATCCGTTATGCCTGGCATCGTCTGATTGGTTGGAGTGGGATGGCCCTGGTTGGCCACCAGCAGTTGCCATGCCAACACTGGAGGTACAAAACCATTCAAAAGGAAGTGAGCATCTTAACCATATCTCTAGTTGATTCAAATTGCCACTTACTAGGTTCAGAACACACATGATCATAAATCAAACTCTATAGATTTAACAAGAAAGACAAAACTTACTGTTTTTCTGGCTGAACAACTGCAACCTTCTTGGGCTTTTTCACTGCAGAGGAAAGAAAAGATCAAGAATATGCTGCATACTAGTAATACATTTAATATCTTTATGTACGTAAAGCTATGAAAGTAAAAAATTTGGGTGCACAGCTCTAATGTTCAGGTGCAAAAATGTAAAGTACATATGCACCCAGTATTTCAATCTCTGACTCACCTATAGCTTTCTTGGGTGGGGTAGACAGGGGGTACCCGTTGGTTTCACACCACCCCACGGGGAACAGCTCCATGGACTCCACATCCACCACGATATTCTGCGCCGTGTGGGCTGCTACCTTTGCCCCCTCCAGGCGAACCAACATGACCCTTGACACGACCTTCGTGATGGAAGCCACGCAGATCTCGGCGTGGTTCATGGGGTTAACGACCTCCAGCTTCATGCCCTCTTCAAACTCATGATCTGGGACGGACTGGGAGGTAGACATGATAATAATCATAACTTTATTGGACGACAATATTAGCAATGTATGGCAACTTTCAAAAACTCATATTTTCCAAGAACTATCGTAGAGTGGAATTCATTGCCACCAAGCAACAAGCATCATCACTAGAAAGCTTTAAACAACTCCTGCTATTAAATGTGCAAAGGTTGGGTGTAACAGGTCGTTCGGTGTAATATAGCCAGCTGCCGCCGTGCCGCGTGCCTGTGAAGCTGGTGTGTTGCGCCGAGGGGCAGTTATACCGGCTATACAAATACAGAACTTGTAAATAAATGGAAGCTGAGCTATTGCTAATAAAGGTAATATCTAACAATCATTCATCAATTCTAATCTAAAGAGATATTATTATTAATGCAAGATGGCCTTGTGTTTTTTAAAAAACGAAAAGTTGTTGTAAGATGTAAGGAGTCCCACCTACCATGTTAAAAATGGTCTCTGGGGCTGCCTGGGCATTGCACAATCTCAGGTATTCTGTCCACTCAAACTGGGGTCTTTGGAAACCTGTATGACATTTATAGACAATATGTGCTGTCAATGATCCCATACATTATACAGTATGCATGATAGACAGATATGGTTATCTCCCGAAGAAGAAGAAAATTGCAAACTTGTCCACCAATCTGCAGTACCTTTGGGAGGTGATAGGTGGAGCCCATGCTGGCTGGACCAGCCCACTGGGAAGATGCCCTGTGACCCCGCATGACACACGACCCCACGAGTGGCAGGTCTCTCAGGTCGGAGGTCATCCATCTCAACCAGGAAGTAGTTACTGCTAAACACCTGAGGAGGAAATTCATTATTTACTTAGTGAGAAGGAATGACCATAAGGTGATTAAGCCTAGGAAAAAATGTTGTGTTTCCTGTTTCAGACCTGAACAATTAGGGACAGTAGGTAGGGATTATATTTTTTTTATCTTTCTTTTAGACTTTGGTGATCTCTAGTGATCCACCTTACACGATACAGTTGATCAAATAAAAAAAAAGGGAAACAGGAAACACAACATTTCTTCCTGGGCCTTACTAATACACAGCTTTTGTTATTTGGTATATATACAGCATATACTGAACTTTGAAATGATGATAACAGCTGTTGAAAAGTGAATGACCCCTATGGTAAAAGGCATATTTAGCTTACAACAGGAAACTGGGGATAGGAAGTGAGATAACCTCTGATTAACTATTCTGGGACCTTTGATCTAACTTCCTGTCGTGTCCTGGGATGAGCACAAACAGAATTACACACACACAAAAAAAATGGTACCTCCCTCATTAAGGTAACAAGGAAGAACTGCAATCAAGCATTATAGGGACAACTTCCACTGAAATGCTTGGTTACCTTGGTGACTGTTGCTGGGGTAACAGTGTGAGGAGCGTGAGGGTCAATGGCCTCCAGCTTCATGCCTGCCTGGAAGGAATGTGGTCGGACTTCCACCTGGTCCTAAAACGTGATAAAAGAAACAGAACGGACATACTGGTAAATCATAAAAGAAAAAGACGATGTGCTTCCCAGACACCCCCATTTTGGAAAATAGTAATATATTTTGTTTCACTACATCCCGTAAAGTTAGATCAGTGCTGCACGGGGTGCCCAATTATTTTATTTCAACATGACAGATACATGCACAATTAAAAAAAAAATCTGTGTCATCTGGACATCAATAACTAATCACATACCAAAAATCAAAGAAATCCGTCAAACGCACCATGTCGACTTACAGCTGCCAAAACACAAATGTTACCAAATACAGTACAATTTTGAAGAAGTACATCTCCTTCCCCAGAGGTAATAATTTAATTTTTATTATCTACTGATGTATGTTTGTATGTATGTATGTGTCACAAGTCTTTTCAATCAAACAAATGCTGTGTGCTGACCTTGAAGGCGTCAGGGGGAAGTGGGTTGGAGGAAGCTTCCAGAACAGCCTGCTGCAGGACAGTCGACCACTCGCTCAGGTTACTGCACAGACTGGAGATCACTGGAGGGGATGGGGAGACACAGAATTAATCATAGTACACACAGTCAGCATGTCGACAGAATAAACTGCACCCAAGCAAAACCCCCAGTGCATAGTATATGCACAGTACTTTGACATGTCTCATTTAAGGTCACATTTGCATACTTTAAGGATGACATCCTGTGAGTGACAAAATTCTAATGCAATGGTGACCAAACATCCAACAAAGAAAATGTGACCCACCTTGAGGAGGCTTGAGGTAGCAGCCATGTTTCTGTGCCCAGCCGACGGGGTGGAGGCGAGGGGACAGGTAGAAGAGCCAGAAGTCGTGTGTGTGTGTGTTCCCCACGCCGTCCCAGCGCAGCCGCAGCCGACCCCCGATGTTCTCCATGATGACGGCGATCCACAGCGCCACTGGCTCCTTCTCCTCACCAACCTCCACACGCATCCCCGGCCGGATCTGGTCAACTGGCATGATGCCCTTATTGGGCTGCAGAAAAACAGACAAACTCAGCTTTGGTGTGGGGGGCATATCGAAACAATCAAACAGTTGACTATAAACAATTAAAATGGTTAAAACTAAAGGCTAAATTAGTATTCAGGGGATTGTTTCAAAGTTCTGATGTTCTGTTATTAAGACTCACACTCTGTCAACAAATTCAAATGTGTTAGGAGCTCACCCCTTCCAGCAGGTGAGATGGTGCGGTCCGTGCTCCAGTGAGTGTCTGCACCAAAAACTCGCCCCAGTCACTGCACTTGTCTCGGATGGCTGTGATAAAAAAAAAGAAGAAATGGGTCAACACTAAGGAAGAGCAAAGACATCATGTTAGAAACAGAAATCTTTCTCCAAACTTGCTGCAAAAATACAACCCGCATCAGCTTGGCTCCATCAAGAATCCTAACAATCAAGTTTTGTTGATGCAGTGTGCGTAGTCCTGTGGTTAGTGACCCTGCCTCTGGACCAAGAAGTCTCGAGTTCGAATCCCGGCTGTTGATGCTCACCTGACATGCACGCAACCAGAAGGGGTTCCAGTCCTTAGGATGAAATGTTAAGCTGGGGTCCACTGTTCACTGATCATCATGTTGAAAAGAGCTATATATATATATACATGTAGGGGAATTTCCCTGGCACAATGAACCTGTAAATACTGTAGTACATAGCATCTGTCTTCCCTGTCACAACCAGTGGAAGAGTAGCTCAACTGTTCATTGAGTTCATTTGAGCTAAAATGGTTCATGATCACCTTCACCTCTTTTGTTATCTATTGATGTGGGAAAAGAAAAAAAGGGGTGATGATTTCGTCATTGAATGAAGAATTTTTCCATTGGTGAAATGTCGGATCAGACCACAGCCCATACAGGGGGGAATTTCGGGGGACGGATGAACTTGGAAGGAAGAAGAAACCTACTTGTCATGCTGACCAGTCCTCTTTTTTTGTCATCTTCTTCCCTAGTGGGGCCAGTTGGACGCACTTACAACAAAGACAAAAACAGCCAATAACTGGGATGGTTACAACAGGTATGGAAATGACGACATGCTACTTTTCTTCGTCTTTCTTTCTGTAAAACCGTGGAAACCATGTAGTCTTGATAGCTATGGCAAACATGCCTCCAGCCATAAGGCCTAAGAAAAAAAATGTTGTGTTTAATTCCTGTTTCAGTCCTGAAAATCATTAGGATCAGTAGGTTGGGATTATCTTTTTTTATTCTTTTTTTATTAGACTTTGTCAATCTCTATTTGTGATCCAACAATACAGTTTAACAATTTAGTAAAACTTGCATGAGGACAATTATACTTTCAATGTCAATGTTGGAAAACCGATTGTTCAACGTTTCATTACTCAGGTGTCAGATCATGGAGCTAGAAAAGGTAGATCAGCTAAAAAAAAATTTGTGTCCCTTGCAGGGATCCACAAAAAAGGCTAGGGTTGCCAGTTTTTCTAGGGTCGGTCGGGAGACAGGAAACACAACATTTTTTTCCTAGGTCCAAGCTCATGATGTACAGTATTTGTGTTACCGTCTGGGGGCTGCAACATCCTCCCGTTCTGAGCACACCAGCCGATCGGATGGACGTCTGCCGTCGTGATGTCGCACCAGAAGTCAGCACTGCGGTCGTTCTTGTAACCATCGTATCTAGATCAAGAGAAGCAGCCTGATTGGTCAACCTTATATGGTAAAGTCATTTATTTTCGCTGGGATTTAATTTTGGGGTAAGAGTGGAAAGTAAGTTCACGCGGTACCTCAAGTTCATGGTCAGAACAATGCTGTAGCACAAAAAAAAAACAAGCCTGATAGCCTGGAAACTCAGGAGTCTTAGGCTACTAATAGAAAAATGTTAGTCTGGTACCTCAGTAGCAGCAGCTGTCCACATGTCATGATGACCGTTGCTACCCAGTACGTCTGTGGGTTGGCCTTGTTGGCCACTTCCAGCTTCATGCCTGGCACAAACCCGCTCTGCAAGCTGATCTCCACCTGAAGCAGACAGAAACATTAGAAACTGGAAGTTTCAAACTTATCTCTCTCGATTTAATGAGGGTTTGGAGGGACATCCTTGGCTTCCTGAATTCCCCCATATCATCCAACTGTGTCTGACTTTTTGATCTCTGTCATTCTGCCTGTCAATCTTGCCCCATACCCGTGCTGTCAACCTAATGTGGGTGGACAAACACACACAAACCCACAGCTCAGCCACCCAAAACAGTAGTTCTGAACCTACATAAATAATAAAATGGAGAACAAGTGGTTGGCATACGCAAATTATTGGCAAGCGTATGACCCAACTACCACCCGCTTTTTGCCTACCACTTGTTGGCTGTGATGCCAGGGCGATCACTCGTATTCAGCTTGTGTTTACTCACATGTTTGAATGAGGTGTTGGGTGCTGCCATTGCTTCAGTGTCCTCAAGGTACTCATCCCAGGTAAACTCCTGTTCATCCATACAGGCCAGATCTGGACAGAAAGAACCAACATTATAAACATGCTGCATTCAAATTCTTGCATACTGTATGTCAAAAATTTAAATGGCTATAACTGAATATTATATCACAACACAATCTTACCCAAAGGCCCTTCTCCATTTGCGTCCTGTGATGTGCTTCTCTCAGACAGTCGACGCTTGCGCTGAGCCATGGCAGACAGCTCTAGCTGCGGTCTTGCGCCTCCCTCCTGGTCTGTCCCTACATGTGGACGGTCGGGTGCACTAGACGTGCTCGGCCGTGGTGTCCCACCAACGTTCGGTGCACCCGACGAGCTAGGCTGCGGTATCCTACCGTGGTTCGGTGCACTCGATGTACCGGTCTGGGGTATCACACCAGCGTTAGCTGTGCCCGGCGGGTTGGGTTTGGGTGTCATACTGAGATTTACGGCGCTTGAGATGCCTGGTTGTGGTACCGGTATCAAACCGAGGTTTTGTGTGCTAGATGTGTTTGGCTTGGCAATTATACCGAGTGGTGCGCTCGACGTGCTAGGCTGGGGTATCACACCAATGTTTCGTGTGCTTGGCATGCTAGGCTGTGGTATCACATTGAGGTTTGTCGTGCTAGGCTGTAGTATCACACCAACATTTGGCGCTGTGGACTGGTGTAACACACCGATGTTTGGAGAACTGGTGGTGCTTGCCTGGGGTATCAAACCAAGGTTTGGTACCGTGGACAGGCTTGGACTGGGTATCACACCAGACGTTGGGGACTGCAGTATCATACCAAGCGGACTGGAGGCGCTGGCCTGGGGTATCAGACCGATGTTTGGTCCACCGGCCGTGACTGAATGCGTTATTATCCCCAGGTTTGCAGAGCTGGATGTGGCTGGGTGGGGTATCACACTAACGTTCTGTATCCCGGATGCCGTTGTGTGGGGCATCATACTGAAGTTTGGCGTGCTGGACGCTGCTGGCTGGAGAATCATCGCCAGGTTTAACGTGTTGGATGTGGTGGGCTGGGGTATCACACCGAAGTTTGGAGTGCCGGACGCGACAGGCTGGGGGACGATGGTCGGGTTCCGTGTGGCGGCCGAGGGCGGGTGGGAAACGACGCCAAGGTTAGGGGTAACGGTCTTCGCCGTTTGCAGGATCATTCCGAGATCTGCTGTACTGGGCCTTCCGGGCTGGGGGATCACACCGAACGTGCTGGACCCTGGCACCACGCTCGGCTGCGATATTATAGTCAACGTACCGATCGGCTGGGCCATGACTGGTTGGGACTGTGCCATTGTGGCTGGAGGGGGTGCTGGTTTGGATGGAATCACTGAAACAACAGGGGCAGGTGCTTGGGACTGTACCACTGAGGAGGCAGCAGGGGGGAGATGGGCTTGCACCATTGACACAGCAGGGGGGAGATGGGCTTGTGCCACTGAGACAGCAGGAGGTTGCTGCGCTTGCATGGTTGAAACTGTGGGTGTATTTGCAGTATCCATGACAGTTAAAGGTGGTTGTGGTTGTCTGTCTCCATCCATATTCACTGTGAAACAAAAGAGCACAATGATTACATCTAAGGCTTTCCAAGCCTTATAGTTATAGATAATCTAACACAACTTACATACACAATTAACAGTTTAAAATTTAACAATTACAGGTCAATAACAAATTCTTATTCTGAATAACACTTACATGATATTTGATGCAAAAAGTTAAACAGTAACCTATATACTGTATCCCGAGATTGACACTGAAGGCATTGATTTGCAGAAGGTACATGTACCAGTATATCTGAAAGTTCCTGTGCAGCACCAGTATAAACAGATTTCTTTCTGAAATGATTTGCACAGCACGTTCCTGCAACAATCCAACATAAACAAGATATTTCAGATTTCTGAGAAGCGCAATCCTCATGGACTGTTAATTCCTGCTAAAAACCCACCCATGTGTAGTCAACCTACTCTCGCCAAACAAAACAGATACACGAATCCACAGCTTTGTATTCTTTGAAGACTTCATTTTATTAACCATTTGTAAGCAATACTTTCTGTTAATATGGAAACTATGAACAGCAATAAAACTGGGAGTTTGAGTACCATGTCTTTTTCCTGTTTAAAGTGTGTACTTTTTCCAATGGGCACCTAATGCATTGTACTGGAGAATTGTTTATTTTTCTCTAGGATATTAATTTAGATATTTTCTGTGTGTTTTCCATTTCAGTAATCTGACCTGTCTGCCTACTTATCCATCGAAAAGGAAGGACTCCTTCACATCACATTCAGACCAATACTGTAGCAGCGCAAAAACACATACTGAGTGACAGAGTCAAAACAATCAATGTACCGGATACTACATCATAATTTTGCAGTGGAGAGGCACGACAAAAACAAAACCACCGTTACTACTTCAAGATTTACAGTAACACTTTACAAAGTACAAAAAAGAAAAAAGAAAAACATGAAAAGGAGTGGATGTCCTGAAATAAGTGAATCAGTAGTGGATTATACTTGAAGCATCTGTCAGTTCTCAAAATCTATCCAGTTGCTTGAGCAACCTTGACTATCCTTGTGTATCTCATTACCTGGGTGTTTATACCTTCATCAACATATTAATAGCAACATACATCTACTTGGAGATCACCATGGAAACAGTTCCATGGAACCAGCCAGCCCACATGGTTCCCATCACTTCTCCCCTGGACTTCCTCACACGACCTGACCACAATGGGGAGGTGTGAATAGACTGCCCACCCCTGTTCACAGAGTGTGAAACCCCACACCACATCCCTGCATGCTCCATTGCTCCCCTGCATAATCCTATCATTCTCCCTATGGGGACGGTGTACTTCTCACTTCTATGGGAACCCCGCCTTGATTATTACTGCCTGGGCTGAGATAAACTTTGCAGAGGGCTATTACTGGTTTTACAACCAAACTTTCCAGGCGTAGACATGTGGCAAGAATTACTTCTCCTAGAAACAAGCTCCACCCTTCTTGTTGTAAGCTCTCCATAAAAAGGACAGATGTGGTCTCTAATTCTTTTATAGCAGCTAGCCAATGAGAGTGTTCTGATGTGGAGTATTAAAGGGGGAAAATCTCTCTCTCTCTTGCATGCATGTTTGCACTTTGGACTGCTGTATGCAAATTGATGTCAAATCTGTTGACCCCTGGCACATCCATCAAAGAGAAGGCAGCAGACAATCAGGGCAAACAATGCCACGCATTTGTGAAAGCACAACAAAGGGAAGCCATCTTTTTAATCCAAAACGATGAAAAATTCAACAACATAAAAATAAGAAACACAGTGGTAGCATTCTAGTGTGCTCGCTAGAATATATGTATCAAGCCTACATAATTTGTGCATTTGATTTACCTCCTAGTGCCAAACAGTACAACTAGTAGTATTCAAGTGATACTAGTTTACATAAGTATGCAAAGTCATTGCGAAAAATATCAACAAGCCAACATGAATGTTTATAATCCAAGATAGGTGTTACAACCTCACATGCAACATTATTCATTTGGCCAAACAAGTCTATTTGTTAAATCTGCAGTCATAAACAGTAAAATACTTATGGAGCTCCAAGAATTTGTGAATTGATATACCAGAAAAAGATGCTAGGAATTCAGGAAGAAAAACTTCTCACCATGTTCGGCTGTTTCCGGTTTTGTGGTAGTTAAATCATCCTGTGAAAAATCGAACATGAAGAAATATTACAACACATGGGACTGATACTTTTTGTCTAATAAACAATACGATTACGAACAAAGAAAATTCCTCAGAACTAAACATAGGGATCCTAAGCATATGAGTAAAGTATATTAATGACTTCCATGAGTTAGAATGATAAAGCACCATGCTATGGGTGTGGACAGGGCACAACCCCTACAGAGAAGGACTCATCTGCCCAAATGTCTCCTTTCACAAACACAGTAATCAACTGCTATTTATCTTCCCATTCCATGTGACACTTGTAATTTGCCTGGACCATGTCCCACTCAATCTTCCAAACAGGAAGTGAAAGAAAGGGGGAAAACAGAGTATGGTAATGATGCTCACCATATGTTAGTGAAAAAAAAAACTATTTTGCCAGATGTAATGTTACATATATTTTCAAATGATGACAGTCAGTGTTCTCTCATTAAAGATCTGCAGAATGCAGAATAACCAATGCCTGGATGAGGCTGGAATAAAAGTACAAAATTTTTTCTTTTGAGTTTGTAGTAATTAATGCTTCTGCATGGATCTCAGAAAGAATGTTTGCAAAAGAGAAATATTACTGCTTGTGCAAATGTTTTGTAGAGTTGGTAGCGATAACTTGTATTTTTTCTAATATTGGGGAAAACTCATTAAATTGTCAAGCCCCGATTGTAATGCAAAGACAAGTAGATTAAATACAACCGTATCCCCAAATATTTACACAAAATGCTTTTTCTTATGACAAGACCAGGAAAAACAGAAGGGAAATTGTTGTGAGGAAAGAAAAACAATGTACATTTGTATCAAGTCAATCATTTTTGCTAAAATACAAAAACTTCACTCTGATCCCAAAAATCTATAAATTTTGTCACAATGACAGAAAATATTATTAGTTAAGGAAAAGAACTCAAGTAAAATGGAAATGCTCCGATTGTATTTCTATCCTAACAAAAACATGCCGCTAGCAGACCATTTTCTCAGTGCCAACCTAGTATAAACAGAATTTGCATGTCTGTAATATCATATTGGCAGCATGCCCAAAATTCACAAACAGGCATTTCAACAAGGCAGACAATTTTTTTAAAATAGCAATTTATTTTCCAGGTAAAGGACTGCATTAGGCATGCAATCATGACAGGATGGACGTATTGGAGTTTTATTTGGAAATGAAAACGTGGCACAATCTGACCGGGCGTGACATTGATTATGCAAGCCAATGTGCAACCATGCATGCAAGCTAGCCCTGCCCACGCCACTCACCCTGCCAAAATCCAGTTCTACCGCCAAAAATTAAGCACCCACGCACAAAAATCCTCCACTATTCACTGCAAAAATAAGCACAGTATGGTACAAATTTAAAGAAAAAAGAAAATGTCGTGTGTGGACATTTTTTCCAGCGGATAAAAATCTTTGCAGGAAGCCCAGTTGGTGCGAGGTCCGCCATATTGAAAACGGGAAGAGAAAAATGGCGTCACAACCAAACGATCACCACTTCTCTCTGACCGAAAAAATCACTTTTCCCCCCGACAGAAGCACAAGACATCCCCGTCAAACCCTTCCCTGGCACCCTACAGACTAACATCTGGTGTTTTTCCGGCAACTTTGACAGAAATATCGCAGAATTTCGAGGCTGGAGCCGGGCCTTTTCCGAGCGGGGTCACCGCTTGCAAAAATAGAAGCTAGTCAAACGATCGACCCACCCACACAATCACTCAAAACGCCTCGCAGATATCGCCTGGAAAAACTACAAGACAACAAAATACGAACAAACAGACTGAACAGTAAGGTAGAGTGATACGTTTTTCATGGAATCCGAGCGTCAGGGGCCGTCTGGAGAGAACTGGGGAGGTTTTTCACGGGTTCCAGCGGCGCTATCCTCAGCTCCGAGCCACAAGTAAAACAAACAAAGCAACTTACCCAAAGACGTCATACACGTCATGCACACGACCTAAATCACCACATTCATCAACCAAACTACCGCGCCACAGCCTGGAAAAAACCTCCGCACGCTAGAAAATCACAGGTAACAGAGTTATCTGCCGTCTGCACCAACCTTTCCCTCTTTCTCGGCCATTTTTCGACAAGTTTCTCGGCTCCAAATGTTCTGTTTCGCTCGGCGGCCGAGGATATATTTTCCAAGATGGCACCTGTAAACTCGAGAGCGCATGCGTAAGAATTAAAGTAATTTTGTTGTTGTTGTGTCTCCTCAAAACCAACAACAACTAAGTTTTGTTTATTTTTTCGTATCGGAAAAGTTACGTCGACGCAAGGAAAACTGGGGAACGTATTTGATGTGGCGTATTTCGTTGGTTTCGTGCCAACGTTTGGCCTCGCCCGCCATCTGCATTTTCTGAGCTACCAAAAGGGGCGGGGACGAGGTTAAAGACCGATACGTGCTTTCAGCGCGCGCGAAAAAATGGCGCCGGGCCTTCATTAAAATGCAGGAGAGCATTTCATAGATGTTTTAAGAGCCACGTCATGATCTATTCTGTTTCTGCACGGACGTTATGCCGCGAACAATGCAGGGAGAGGCCGCTCAACCGGTGTTATGAGTCCCGATAGTTGAACAGAAAGATCTCACGGTGATTGTAATGTTAACGTTACTAAAAATAATAAAAGAAATGCAATGCAAATGTGTTTATATAGCCCGGACGCTTTCCAAACTAAAGAAAAAACAAAAGGTCATGCAAATATCGGTATCATTGTTGGTATCAATATCATGCAGCATGGAATTTATTTTTTCATTTAGATCTTTACTGATGAAGTTCATATAAATTTGTGCGAATGGAGTGACTCGTGAAAATTTTTAAATTTTCCCGTTTTGAATTTTGATTAAATGCCTATGTAAAAATTGTATCCATAAATATCACACGAATGTATATCTCAGGAACACTTACATCAAAGATAGGCTAGAAATGATTAGGTCTCATTGATAATATTCTATAGAGACAGATATGCCCTTGATACTGTGCAAAAATGGGGGGTCGCTAGCGTTCTTTCTTTTGAAAAAAAAAACGAAAAGGAAGTGTGAAAAATTTTAGCGTTTCCATACTGTCATTAATACGTAATGTTGTACCCGAAGAATTTTACAGAAGTATGACAGTTATATAACCGACGATATCACGTTGAGTCTCGTTGTATAGCGCCATATTCTAAGTCACGTACGGAGTAAGGTCTAACTTCAAATTAGGCTGGGTGCCAGACTGTTGCCAAGGCCAGTATACAAGCGAGCTCCTCGGCTCTAGGGCTAGCCTGGGTACAGTGCTGCCAGAGGCAGTCGACAGGCTATCTCCTTGGCTCCAGGGCCAACATATCCCCAAGGAAATTTCACCACAGACCCCTTCAGCTAGGCCACTCAAATACCCCCTGTCCTTCATGGTGGACACTGTCTTAAACTATCATTGACAAAAGTGTAGTATGTGGTCTTCCCACTCCACGTCTCCCAGTGGGAACTTGGAAGCCATTGGCTTAAAACGCAACGAAACATAAAAAAAATTAAATATCCAGGCCTTCACAAGAATGTCAATGAACACCTGGATATCTGAAGTGTGCAGCCATTGGGGATTACTGATGCTGCATTAGTAGGTCGATCTTTTTGAATTAATGTTTTCTTCTAAGGCCACAGCAAGTAAATTTTATGGATGACATCCTCCTCAGACTCCTATGCGACAGCGCGAAAAAAAAACAAGGCGGGCCAAAAAACAGGCTTCCTACATTTTTAACTTTTGAGATTATAAACCTTCACAAGAATTGAGGCAACAAAACATGATATTACATGTACAACCAACAGTATCACCTGTCCTTGTAGATGTGTATACAGTTACAATGGTAGAAAAGATTATTCATACGCGGCGAACACCTTAGACTGTCAACTTGCCATAAAAGGCAAGCAATTGTGCCTCATGTTTGCTGGATCGCTGACGGTCTCTAAAACTGATATAGGCATTTACAACATTTTGCCCATTTTCGGCATGTCGTCCACCGTCGACCAACAAAATTTCTTGGTCGACGGTCTTTTTTAATCAGGCAAAAATCAATGCGCGCGCAGATGTCATCCATAAAAATTACTTGCTGTGGTCTAATGTAGTGGCCATGGTATTAAATAGAGTGAATATGAGAGTTACGTTTCATTTCGCACATTTGCATGAAAAAGCACGCAAGTTTTACGTGGTAAATCGGGAACTTGATACCGAATGTCGCCACTTTTGACAGGTTTGATACTCATGTCCGCACGGAATTTAGCAATATCCTTCGTACAACCGTCATCCAATGCAATTTCAGAGCAGCAAAACAATAATATCTAGATATGAAAAAATTGGTCTGATATAGAAATTAACTACGAGTTCTTAGCACTTTTCATACTTGAAGCGTTAAAAACAGCCCCAAAACAAGCCAGTCCCTTTATTTTTGGTACCACCAATAAATAGCTAGTAACAGCCACCGATTCAAAACAAGCAACTGTTTTCTGTCAGCTAGTAGTATGGTCTAGTATATATCGCCTAACAGTAAGTTGAATGAACTCCCATAGCATACTGACAGTATGCAATGGAAGTTCATTCAACTTACTACATTTGAAATGGGAACCAGCTGCGGCACCAGAAACTGACTCTTAAAATCCAGTTTTTAGTGCCCTGAAATCCTTTTGGGCGCCTTCATGAGATTTCGTTTAATATTGCAGAATTATCACACTGGACATCAGCAAAAAGATGATGTGATGCATTTATTCCTATAATCATGTTACACAAACCGTGTCACTTACATTATCATTCCCAACGATATATGTAGAAAAGGCTTCATACACGGTTGGCCTGATAGATATTTTTTAACACAAGAGAGACCTTTTGGAAGGTAGTAAATGTTAAATTACACTTTGGACTGATTGAGAGAGATTGAAAGAGTTCTACTGCACTGCGACACACTTATATATCTTATATATGATGCAAGCTTTTCGTATCCTATACTTTGGCCGAATTTACACAGCAACACCGCCTAACGACCAAAACTTTAATTGCAGAACAACTGATCGTGCGCCAAAGTGGTCACATACCGTGCTATAGCTGATATAGCTAGTACACTGTATTCCGGATAACGGAATTATGGGTAAAGCAAGAGATAAACCAGCTGTCATGGTAAGCCCATATACATAACCTTCTGCCCAGGGTAATAACGATATTGTCATGTCTGATGATGTCACATGTTCGTCTATCCTTATACGTCATCTTGTCATAGCAACATGGCAACGAGACAATCATCATATGTGGGCGTGTAAACCTAGAAAAAAAACCCCACTGAGTCTGGACCCGGATAGCAACATTTTTTGGTAAACAAGCCTGACGTTGGCAAAGGCTGGCTGCGTGCAATGGATGCAGACGTGTACGAAGAAGCCTGCGTGGTCTTTCCATCGGGGATTTCGGCCGGCTCCGGCCATGGACCCTCTAGCGACACGGGAATTCGAACCACCCAAGGTTCAGAAATATCGGGAGAAGAAGGTATGGCATCCCACACGTTTAGACAATTACAGACGTGCAACTTGATAAACAATACATACAAGTAGAAGACATCAAGGGGCGAATCATCACTTTACCTTAGATATCAGAAAAAAAAGAAGATGCATAATATCAGCCTCAGCCAGACTAACAACGCGAGCTGAGGTAGAATAATTTGCCTGGGGAGTTTTGCCACTATAGAGTAATCTCCAAGCAGATCCTACGGTGGACAGGCAGTATCCAAATCGGCCATGCAGCAACTGGATGTTAATAGCCTTGGAACGCTTCGACTGTCAGCAGATAACATGACAATAGCAGAAATTAGGATGTATTTCTACTCAGGGGACGGAAATATAGTTTTGGGTGGCGTTAATTTATGCTAGGTTTGTATGTTTGGATTCCGAAGTGAATGGGTGAAGATTGCGTTTCTCTTCATTGACGTCGACAGGGTTTTCATTGACTATGCCCTGGGTTCAAGGATGTGGTTGCCAGAAATGTACAGAATTAATACAGAACATACATAGCGGATTAAATTTCATAATACTATTGTGTGAGTAATAATTGTATTATTTAATTCATCGACACAAACTATATCTGATTCCCAGAAGTTTGAAATGTCTGATGTCATTTTGTTGATTCTCTTAAAAGCTCGCTTCTCTCCTGACATCTCTACCGCTGATGTCCCCAATGGCTACATCCCGGGAGTGGGTATGGGGAGCCCTGGTCAGTCCCAGGTCTTGACCAGCGCCATATTGAAGACCATATCCGTGCTGACCGTCGTAGTTTTGAACATCTGTCTGCTGGGCACAGTTATCTTCGTAGGTGAGTGTCATATATCCGAATTGGATAATAATGAATGAATGAATGAATGAGCTCTCGCACTTTTTACACATCGGGCATGTTTCTTGTGGCCCAAATCACGTTACTGACTCTCCCCCAATCCGAGTATTCAAGCCTTGCTGCAAAACTGTACATGATCTTCAGTTTACTTCTACATGTAGCTCTCGATCAACGTTCCATCTATTCCACCACCATATTTGATCATACTTGGACTAAGTTGTAGATTATCTATTTCGAACTTGTTTCCGTTTGTACATTTGCCTGTATTCTCGTGGGTCATGATGATATGCACGAAACTCACTGTTTTCCTGTGTCTGTAACGTGGTTGTTGCGTCTTCGTTTATACAGCAGTCACAGTATTGGACCTGAAGTTGTCCGTCAGCCAGCTTGACCAAAAGATAAGTGCTGATATGTCGGATCTAAAGATGTCGGTCAGCCAGCTTGACCGAAAGATAAGCGTTGACGTGTCGGATCTGAAGCTGTCGGTCAGTCGGCTTGAGCGGCTGACGTCCACTCTGACGTCCACTCAACATGCAGTAATCTCTGCCTGGCCGCGACAGGTAATACAGGGTCCGATCAAGCAGAATTAACCTATTTTCAAAAGTTTTAACATTTAATAAAAAGTTAAAACTTTTGATCCAACACAAAGCATGGTTCTCACCTAGAGCTTTCGACCAGTCACTCCGGTCTTCTTCGGTAGACTGACCCAGTGAGACTTGTCACGTGGCTCCTATGGAGTGTGACGTCAACACTGGGTCAGTCTACTGAAGAAGACCGGAGTGACTGGTCGAGAGCTCTAGGTGAGAACCATGCCTTGTGTTGGATCAAAAGTTTTAGCTTTAAACATGCAAATACCAACACAGATGAACTTTCATGACAGAATCAACCTACGTAGGACATACTTAACGTTTGCGCTACATTTTATTTTATCAATGCGAATCCTAGTGTGAAAATTTCCATCCATTTTATAAGAATATTTTTCAAAAGCAAGGTACATGTTTTGGTTGGAATTCACAGGCAGTGGGAACAACAGAAGGTTTGCCAGGAACGGTGGAAGATGAAACAACTACTTCAGCTCACCTGAAAGGTAAGAAGAGAAATGCATCATGTTCATAATAATATAATGATAATATTGATAATAATGCTGATAATATTATGATAATAATGATAATAAAATGATGATAATAATAACAAGAATAATGATGATGATGATAATAATAATGCTAATGATAATAAAATGCTGTTTTTCAGCGACCTGTCCTGACGGTTATAAGATGTACCGAGAAGTCTGCTACAAAGTGTTCGACACGTACAAGACGTTCTCCCAGTCGGCGGAGACCTGTCGGGCTGACGGCGGCACCCTCGCCATGCCCCGCGACGCCGGCATCAACGCCTTCCTCTACTCACTCACCACCGAACTGGGCAGCAACGACGACTTCTGGGTTGGCCTGCACGATCAGGTTAATCTCTAAACTGATTTTTTTGTGTGGCTACACAGGCAGTATCAACTTGGCCAGCTAGCCAGTCACCAGTTAACTAAGTGGTCCTGGGTGTACCATCCTGGTTAGTTTACGGCCGCTCCGATAGTCGCCACGTACGATTTGATACTGTTTGATACCAATTGCAAGGGCATTATACAGAGAAAATGTCATTGTTGATACTATGTGAGTATGTCCGCTACGAATATCGGGGCGGACGAAAACTAGGCCGGACGCGTACGGTATCCTGGCTAGGACATTGTACCATCGATAGCAAACTCCTTGGTAAATTAATGATAGGCATTTCCAAGTCTCGTAGGACCATGCATGGTACAACTCCTACACAATGTATTCATGTTATTGTTTGCTTTTAAGTTTGAGTTCTGCATGATGCGATTCATTGTACCATCAAAAATAAATTAATTGGTCCTTTATCATCCCGATAAAGGCGACGGTAGTAAGGTGAAAATTTGATCCCTCTGTCCTCGTTTAGTTGGAATAAAATTCAACATGTACTATGATTATTACCAACACAGATGAACTTTCATGATACATACATTTTCCACCAGGGTCAGGAGGGCCAGTGGATGTGGCTGGACGGCACGGCCCTGGGCGCCCCTGGCGGCGACGGCGGGAACTACAGCGCCTGGGCGGCGGATCAGCCCAACAGTTTCACCGGCGAGGAGGACTGCGCCCTGCTGCACACCGGCTGGTACGATCACAACTGCCAGTCCGCGGAGGGATTCATCTGTCAAGTCATGCCATAGGAATGAACGAACGAACGAACGAATGAGTGAATGAATACACACACACACACGAATGAATGAATTTGGTGAATGAATGAGTGAATATATGAATGAATACACGCACGGGTGAATGAATGAATGAACGAATGGGTGAATGCACGTATTCATGCATGAATGAATGCATGAGTGAGTGAATGAATGAATGAATGAACTTTATTGCTAAGTTACACATAGTTCAATCTTAATAACAATGACAAAGCAATAAAAACAAGTCTATTCTAAACACTATGACTACAGGAATATAAACGCAAATGACATTTTGATATACTAGTAATATACGTTAACGTTTCTGTGTGTTATGTTACATTCTCTCTCTTTGTAAAGCGCTACACTTATGCGATAGCCTAAGTACAAAGATATTAATGTATACGATCCGCCTCACAAGCAGCTTGCATGGGGGTTGTCCCGACAACGTAACGCTTTACCTTAAATTAGGGAGGACCGACTGTCACTCAGGAGGACCAACTAAGGGCAATTACGCAAGACTTAGAATTACGAGGATAAGATTTGATTTCCCTACAAAGCATGGGAATTAAATTTCATTCGCCTTACAGAAAAAGAAAAGCATGCACGACCATTTGTTGTTGTGAAAAACAACAAAACGTGACATTGGGAGACTGCAACACAGATACTAGATACGTAGATGTATAAAACATGTCATTTTGACAAGGTTGGTCTAGCAAAGGCGACGTGAATTTAGATAAGGACGGAGTACGCATATGCAGCAATGAAATAATATACTTTTTTCATTCAATTTTCTATAATACAAAGCAGCTAAAGAAAAGCGAAATAAAGCAAACGGTTCAAAAGCTGTCAAATTTAGCCAAATAGGGAGAATAATTTGCCAGGAGAGTTTGGCCACCGTAGTAGAGTCCATTTGCCCGCGCCGTTCGAGAGAAATCAATCGGTACCTTCCCGTGGACTCGGACTCTCCTGGCGAATTATTCTTCCGCTTTTTACCGAATTCTACGATCCGTATCACCGTAGAAAGGCCATGCAGATCCTCATGTAACATGTAGACGAAGGCAATCGTCCGTGGGCACTCCTTGATTTCAAGAGTGGGGGTAATTAACCTCAGGAGCGCGGTTTAGTCAGGCACTCCCTGATTAGAGAAAGTTGACCTGGCCGATTATCGAGGGCCAGCGTACCATTTGAGACGTGGCTGTTGCAATGTGTTTGCCCCATTAAATGTACGTGGTTATGAAGGATGAACTAAATACACATAATTGAAATACGTGCATAATTACATAATTACATAAGTGGATGAAACAAAAATGACTATAAACAAGACAAGTTGGCTATGTACGTATCAATTGTTGTCCTCAAATGTTGTCCGTCAAGTTTATATCCGAATGAAGGGCAAATAGCCAAGAATGTTGTTAAGCGGGTTCGTTTGTAACGAGGATTACTTAGTATGTCTTCGCGGACACGGGGTCACACCATTTTGTCCGATTTAGTGTCTGATTTTCTTTAGACTGAAAATTGAATGCGTGGCGGAGTGAGAGTTACTTGGGATTTCAACAGACGCGAAGAGGAAACTTTTGCTGGCCTCTCTTCGAAGTTGAGTTTTACCATAGAAGGAGCGGGTGGAAGAATTCATTAGCATAAGTGACTTAAGCAACACAGACAGTTCTGCCCAGGTAGGTTGACAACTATCTATCTAGTCCAGCAATTAGCCAGGCAGTATTGACAGTCAGTATCCGTATGTTGGCTGGCGTAAAAAAAGAGCTACATGTACACAAAAAAGGAAAGCTCGATAAAACCCCCTAAAATATGTCAAAAATAAGCCAAAGCCTGAACCCCTGCCTGGAGAGTACTTTTCAATCGGCGTGACGTGTCAAGAAAGGTAGTCATGTGAAATAACGCCTGATAGCAGCAAAGTACGTTTCTTTGGAGGCCAAATGGTTTAATAGTGAGGTGAAGTCACAGACAAAAGGCCAAAAAGCATCTTTGTACAATGTTTACCCTAGTTCCCGTGAAGCCTACCTACAAGAGATGCCCTACATATTGTAACTTCACTTCACTAACCCATTATTTGACCTTATTTTTCACGAGCGCCATTTTGAAATCTGAAATGTGCCCCAGGGGGCATGGGAGAGACAATCGTACAGTGCCTATGTCTGAATGGGTTATAATAAGGTGCGGTGCTGGATAGTCTCTGCGTATCTACATAACGCAGATTAGCCCCAGTCACGGCTCTGGATACGCGTTGAAATAAGTCTGCCGTCACCATGTCATGTAAAAAAAATGTTGGGATAAAAAAAGTAAATATCGCCTTTTATTTGTCTCGCAGTCCGCAACATTGAGAACTAAGATGAAGACTGAAACGCAGCAAGTCGTCTTCTTTCTTGTCATCCTGGTGACTGTGGGCATGTTTATTTTGCTTTCGTCATCACGTCACATGGAAAGGTACGGTACCGGTGTTCTAGTATAGTCATAACCTATCTGTGTTCAAGCTGCGTTATGTAACAATAGGACGATACAAAAAGTATATCTTACGGTCGTTTCTTTACAAAGTAAGTTAAATCAACCCTACTCCATGGCAAATAATGAGTGCCAGTCGTCAGGTCAGGAAGTGGAGGTGCCATGAGCCAAAATGTGACACCTTACGAGTGTGTTTGAAAGCAAACTCAGCTGTCAGCCATGTTTGTTTATATTCTGGTAGTTTGTGGTGACATCTCAAACTGAGTGTCTCGTGTGGTTGACCACACATGTCAGAAATGTGACATAGTTGCACAAATATGTGGAAATAGGTATAGTGGAAGTAAGTTAAAGTTTTTAAAATAAAATATCTTTTTGAAATAAATACATTATGCCCCTTTAAGGCCTAGGATGCAGGTTTACGCCAGCTATTTGATGGCAGGCTGTCTTGTCACAGCTGTGGGCCGTGCAATGATTGTGACTTGCCCAAATATTTTTCTACATTCAGAAGAAAGAAACTTTGCCTCTTACTTACTTACATGTGTACCTAGTTCGAGCATGGAGTTAAAAATCAAGATTTTAGTTCGAGCATGGAGTTGAAAATCAAGATTTTAACTCCATATGGTTCGAACTCGAACCAATCCAGAAAGGCTCCTCCATAGCACTTTGTTCTCCATGGTCCTTCGTAGCTCGTTGGTATCAGTGCAGGTCGGTATCACATCGCAGATGGTCTAAGTAGGTGGCTCTGGGTCTCCCCTACCTCTTTTTCCGTGAGCCCTGTGTTTTTCCTTGCCTAGCATGAGCATATCTCCCTAACTGAAGATGATTTTCTTAATTGTCACTACCTTTGCAGGTCTTATTACAGTCCACCTGTCCTAGCGTCACGGTCACGTCTTTGCCGTCCTGAAACCAAAGTCGCCTTCATCAAAACCCACAAGACGGGAAGCAGCTCTATGATGCAAATATTTCAGCGCTTCGGCTATCTTCGGAACCTCTCGTTAGTGCTGCCTAAATTGGGCAACATCAACGGTTTGTATCCGTACAGCATTCTGGACCCGAGTAAGTACCTTCCGCCGGAGAACAAGGAGTTCGACATCTTGACACATCACACCATCTACGACCGAGCGAGGATAACAAAGCTGCTATCTGATAACGCTACATTTGTAACCATCATCAGAGAACCCATGGACCGTCTGAAGTCTGCCTTCAACTTTTACAAGTTGGACAAGAAGCTCCACATTCACGGACCAAACGCCCTCCTGAAGTTTCTGCAAAACCCAGAAAAATATGAAAACAATATCAAAGGGCCAAAACCTCACTTAACAAAAAACAACATGGCAATAGAGTTGGGATTCCCCCTCAACATCCTCTCATCCGGGGTAAAGGACGACAACATCCGGGACTTTGTCGACAAGATCTCGCAAGAGTTTGACCTAGTGATGGTGATGGAGTATTTCGACGAATCGTTGGTGCTGCTGAGGCGGCTACTCTGTTGGGACATGCAGGACATTCTCGGCTTTAAATACAACAGTTATAAGTACGGAATCGGTGACGCTAGCTTCCCGAAGCAGCTTGTAGAAAACTACCGGCGGCACGACGCCATCGACTACGCGCTCTACGAACACTTCAACCGGACATTGTGGAGGAAGATCAAGATGGAGGGTAGCGACTTCCGGGAGGAGCTGGCTCACTTCCGGTGGCTGCAAACAACGATGAAAACCCAGTGTAACCGAGAGTCTGGTGACTTCGCTCCAATCTACATCGGTGAAACTGCCTGGAATGCCGGATTCCACATGGATGCAACGTTTTGTACCTGGATGAAGGCATGGCATATGTGCTATTTTACCTTACTTCGAGACAGGAATCTCAGAATTCAGCAATTCAAGAAGAAAAGCCCCATACCTTCAAAGTCGACGTGTGGTGGGTTCCACTGCCAACCGTACTGTGTCCTGTGCGAGGAAATTAAGAAGCAGTGCACGCTCCACGAGTACGCCGCGCATCTCTACCGGGAGGGTCTTCTGTCGCCGACCCAGTCAAGTTCTGCAAAATTGTCAAAGTCGAATTCAAGGCATAGCCATGGCGGGAAGCCGGAACCGCTTACTTAAGCTTAAAAAGAGAACAGTGGTCTTACCATTGATGCAAAACAACTTGCTTATAGATGAAATGTGCTTCGTCATCTATGATCTATGCAACGTTACCCCTCCTCCTAAAATAAACCACAAAACCCTCCGCTTTATTTATGCCGCTATGTACGGCCCTTGTCTCCACCCCCCACCCCCCAAACCATGGGTGGCGACATTTCTCTCGTCAATCAGTCATAGAAGTCTTTCTTGGTCAAAAACTTTCTTTTATATAACCTGGGCCAATAGCATGTATATTATTTAATGTCTTGGGTTGGTGGGACTTCGGTGCACTACCATGTCAACTCTAGGTATATTGTATTTTGTTGTGTCACTATTAAAATGAGTTTAAAAACTTGATTGCAAACGCCACACTGCCCTTGGTAATATTTTGTTATGTATTGATGAAAATGAAAAAAAAGTGATTGGGAGTAGATTAGGAGCATCAGTTCGTGGTTGGCTGGTGTTCGGCTGCGCCGGTCGAGTGTTTGAACGTTTCAAAACGTTTGCCCATAGTTTGACGTGTCTAATCCCCAGTGTTCAAATAGCCTGTGTCATAGGAGGGAGGATCACGTTCGAACGTTCTAAGCTTCAAGATTGTTTGAAAGTTTAAAGCTTTTTAAAAGCTTAAAGCCTGTTTAAAAGTGTTTAAAAAACTGACACATGTTGGGTTTGCGTTCACCGTATAGTATACGTAATTTGTGGTCCTAAACTATAGAAATCTCCATATGGGGAAAACTGTCGTCTGATACAACTTCATGAACGATCCGGTCCCTGAAATGATTCTACCCGGTGACCTGGATCTAATATCTACACAATAGATAGTTCGGCTACACCCATGTAATGTGCCCATTAGAGAGGGCAAAAAATGTCAAACAGATATGAGGCTCTGCATGGGGGGGGGGTGACCTAGGAACGCTTAAGGATCCACTTATAGGAGGGCTGCGGGAGTAGATTGGGGGCAGGTAGGAGAAGCTAGGTTCAACTGGACGAGACTGGGCGTGGTTAGATGCGAGTCAAGTACGAACTGCAATCGGAATTTAACCGGAAACCCGCATACGGATTTTGAGGCCGCCAACAAGAAGGAAGTTCTTCACACGGTTTCCCGGTAAACATTGGATCGCAGTTAAAGGCATCCAATGCACTTTCAGGAAATCTGTCTGATATTGACATTTACTGCCATTTCTTAGCCCGTTTTTTCATCATCTCATACTTGAAAGTATTTGATAGCCCAGAAATAAGCTGCATGAGGCACCTCTTTTATTTTTGGGTACCACCTGTAAATAGCTAGAAGCAGCCTACGATATACAAATACAAAACAAGTACTCATTTTCCGTCAGGGACATCTCCTTTTGCCTCACAGATATCAGTATGCTATGGGATAGGGTTGATTCAACATACATGTGTACTACATTAAACGAATGACCCGAAAATTGACGTTGAAAATCCAGTTTCGCTAACATGAAATTGCATTGGATGCCTTTAATCACATTATTGGTTAAACTAGACATCTAAGGAAAGGGTTATCTAGTCTGTTTTTGTTGTGTTTCAATTGCACTAACAGGTACGAAAATTCCATTACACGAAAGCTATAACCTCTTGTGTTGTAAAGCAGGAGCTTGTTGCGCAACAACGACCAAAGATAAGATTGAAAGAGCACGATAGTCATCCATATTTCTACTTTTCTGTATCATTAAATGTCTTACAGTTGTCAAAACACATCCAGTTGCTTGACTACCATTTTTGTTTATCTCACTACCTGGATGTCTAACTGTCATCAACAATAGTCAAAGTATTGCAAGAAACGCACATACACAGTGAGTGTTGGGGTCTTCTAATGCGTCCCAGGTTTACGTTTGATGGTTGATTACGACTGGCCCTGAGCCGAAGTCTAGGACAGCCACCGGATGTTGTATCACAAACTCGCCAAGTCTTCTTTGAGGAAATGGGTTAAATTACGTGGGAGTAACATGCCCGTAGCCAGGATTTTGAAGGGGGGGGGAGTTCTTCCCACTGCTTGAGGGGACCTCGAGCGCTGTTCCTAGGGGGTCCGGGGCCATGCTCCCCCGGAAATTTGAAAAATGAACCTTCTAAAATGGCATTTCGTGCATTTTTGAGAGGATTTCCACGAAAAAATCTGAGATAAATTTATATTCAATGACAAAGGGAGCAGTTTTTCTACGATTCCAGTCCATTTTTTAAAGAAAAATTTTGGACCCTAACATAAAATGTGGACCAAAAAGT